TTCGAAGTCAGCGTTTTATGCTGCAACGAATGGTATACAGCTTGTTTGGTTTGGCCACTTCAACTTCCGACCATTCCCTTGTTAGCAAAAACAATGTTAGATCCAGCATAATTCTATGCTGCAAAGCTCCTTTAGCAGAAAATAACTTTTCAGCTTTTTGAGAACTAGTTGTCGAAAAATTTTGAAATTTAACGTAAAAGCGACATTTTCATGTTTTTGGCCTACAGGTTTAGGTATATTCAATTTCCAACCAAGCTAGAATATTCGACAACCCTACATAGGGAAGTCCGATGTGGATAGCAGATGTCTGATTTAACGTCATTTAGCAGAATTCGTTTTTGCTCTAGTGAATGTTGTTTCCCATATTTTTATATCTCACTGCTGCGAGCGTAAGGAACCTGCATTAATTTCGAGACAAATTAATACGTTAGGTTGTTCCGAAAGTAATGTCGTGTTTTCTAAAATGAGCGCCACATTTTGTGGAACAAAGATTCTTAAAGAATTTTGGTAGCATTCGATGTAGCATAGTGCAGCACGCTTTTTCAATGATTATGAAATCATTGCAGCATAGTCAGTGAGCTCTCGGAATATTACCAAGATCTGTGACCCATAATTTTTGAGATGTAGCATTGGATGTAGCATAGTGCAGCCTGCTTTTTCAATGATTATGAAATCATTGCAGCATAGTCAGTGAGCTCTCGGAATATTACCAAGATCTGTGACCCATAATTTTTGAGATGTCAAGTTGCACATTTTTTTCAATTTTTTATACCAACCCTCCAAAGAGTCCAGATAACACAATTATAAAGCAAACTCTACAGGATGCAAAACGATTTTTCTCCAATTTCTTCGCATACTTTTTCATTAAGTTTCAACTGATGCTACCGATTTCCATATTTGGTCAACTCAAATCTCGTGAAACACCTACGGGCGCCATTCGATGCGGCTTTTTTCCCCTTTTTAATAGATTTTGTTTGTTTCTATTTATGGAGTCTTAAGCGATAAGAGAGCGATAATATCAACATAATTCATGTTTTCGAATGCGCCTCCGGCTGTGCCCGGGATACTTCGAATAAACTGCAAATTCCGATTGCTTCAGTAAAAAAAAACCCTTCAAGAAGTTACGGACAGTTTTGAAGAGCAGAAAGAATAAAACTGCTCAGACAATCAAATGCTCTCAGCCGGCAGCCACAAAGCCACCGCCTAGACCCACCAAAAGCGCGGTGGCCTCATCGCCTCACTGTCGCTTCCCGCTGAGAGCTTTGTCGGAGTTTTGTCGGAGCTTGTCGGAGCGGGCTCAGCGGGCAGCGAGCCCGCTCCGACAAGCTCCGACAAAGCACCGACAAAGCTCTCAGCGGGAAGCGACAGTGGCTGCGATAAGGCAACGACGCTTTTGGTGGGGCCCGCTGAGAGCCTGTGATTGTCTGAGTGTCTTCGATAGGGTTCGCTCTATCTATTTATCACTTGCACTTCTCTCGAGGGTTATTGCAACAATTTAGAAAAATTGTGAAACATAACCATTTCAAACAGCACGGGTCGCAGCTTTTGATTTCCCCGGTAGCTTATTGACTATGTTTTAGTGGTTTTACATCCATCGGAAAAAGGATAAAATGCTGCATAGTATGCTATCAAGACCTCTTGAAAATCTTAGCTTAAAGAAACGACATTACTTTTGGAACATTACATTACACATTACTTTTTTCCTTAGAATAGGTGGTAACATAAGACTTGTTACACTGTGTCTTCTTACGGCGATAAGTCACAGTTCACATCTTCAATATATCTAGGGCACCATTCGATAGAGCAAAGCAAGCTCTACAAAATATATGCAAAAGTTTGCGCTAACATCGACCCACCGTAAGTTTGTACCCGAAATTTGAGTCGTTCTGAAGGCTCAAAAAATCACGAAAAATTCATACAATACCGCTCACAGAATGTGCAAAATTTCCGTGAATGTCGCGAAATTCCGAAAATTCTGCGAAATTCCCGCAATTTCGCGGAATTCCGAAAATTTTGCGGAATTCCGGGAATTTCGCGGAATGTTTGGAATTTCGCGACATTCACAGAAATTTTGCAAGTTATGTGGTATTGCATAAAAATTCAGAAGTAAGTTGGTATCCTTTTGGAAATCAACTTTTTCAAAAATAGCCTTAATTATGAGACAACCTAATATAAGCAAAATACAGGCTGCCCCAAAAAGATGTGCCTACTATTTGATTGTTGATAGCTTAAACTTTGAACTGTTAATACTCTTAATAACTTCGTAATAAAATTTTTTGAGAAGCTTTAGGTATCATTTATTAGGTCGTTCCGAAAGTAATGTCGCTTTTTTCAAACGTATGCCACATCTCGTGGAACAAAGATGTGTAAGCGGTTCTGGTAGCATTTGATGCAGCATTTCATTCTCTTTCTAATAGTCATGAAGCTGTTGCAACACAGTCAATGAGCTTCCAGAAAAGAGTCAAAATCTGCGACCTATGCTTTTTAAGATGGCCATGTTTCACAATTTTTCTAAAATTTTATAACAAACCTCAGAAGGAGCCCAAGTAATGGATGGATGGAGCAAACCATACAAGAAACAGCACAACTTTTTTCTACTTTTCAGAGCTCGTCATAATTTTTGTATAGATTTTTTGATACAACCACCGAATTTTAGCAGGCTCGTCTTAGACACAAATGCATCAAACACTAGTGAATCTTCAGATTTTGAAACTTACAAAAATGGATTATGGTTTGACCACTAATTTCACAAAGCAAATGAGCGTTTACCGCGTCAAATTAGCAACTTTCGAAAATTCCGGGTACAGCCTGGGGCGCTTTGGACAACGTGTATTATGATGGTTATATCCCGGAAAACTTGATGAATCGGAAACAAAAAACAGCTGGTAAAAAGAGGAGAGAAAGCTGCATCGAATGACACCCGAGTCGCTTGCCGGTTGTTGTTCTGTGAAGTTTGACTTGACTAAATATGGAATTTGATGGCATTGAGAAATTGATTGTAGAAACTGTGAAAAGCAGGCTAAGGAAAAGAAAAAATTACTCTGTGTTCTATAGTGTTTGCTCTATCTACCTGCCACTTGTACTTTTTCGGAGATTGGGTACAAAAACTTAGAAAAATAGCCGAACTTGATCATGGCAAAAAGCATGAGTCGCAGATTTTGGTAATTTTTCTAAAGCTCATTGAACATTATGCAGTGAGCTTGCCACCACTTGAAAGAGGATGAAATGCTGCATCGAATGCGTTTGAGATCTTTTAAGAATGTTAATTCCACGAATAGTGGCGTACTTCGAAAAAAGCGACATTACTTTCGGAACGACCTAATATAAAGCTTTCTTCAATTTAGATTTACGGCATGGAGCGGATTATCGAATGTTTTCCATCACTGTAGGATTGGATTACGGCAGGGACTTTGAAGAGAGTTCTGAGCCATAAAAGGCCATATTTTTCAGAAAGGAAACAAAACAAAACCCTCATTGTGCTAATTAGAGTTGTGATTCTAAGTTTGAGTTCACAACTTACTATAATGCTCTAAAAAGTTGTGCGAGGTAGGCGATAGCGGCCGTTTTTTCAATCCTTTTAAAAAGTGCAGTTACACCCTTTAGAAAGCTTCGCAGTCTTGTACATAGTCGTATTGACCGCTGCGTCCATAAAAATTAATACACAATTGTTCACATTTTTTATTTGAAACAGTAGACTTTTTCGCAGTGACACCATATGCTTGAGAGTTCTACCGTTCCTACAGTTAATGAGAAACGACCGGTGATCGCTCTACTCTGTGAATCTAAATTGAAGCCAGCTTTACAAAATGGTACCTGAAACTTCTCGAAAAACTTCGTTATAAGAGAATTATTAACAACCAAACATTAGGCACATCTTTTTGGGACACCCTGTAGAATAAAATGCATGTGCAAATAGCTAAGCTGAGCTTGCCGTGTGTTCTAACGCCAACGACCTGCTCAGAAAATCTGTCGACTAGTTCTACCGGATGCCGACGGTTATATCTATGTCTGCTTGCTCTGGCAAACATGCAGGTGTGGTAGGCTTTGGCCTTTCAAAATTCGAGTGCTTTCAAAGCAGAACTCAGACAATCGCCGGGGGCAGGCGGGCACCGGAGAAATAGTTTGCTGATCTCTCGGACCCCGCTCGCGGATTTTTTGCAAAGCAATCAGGACTTTTCGGAAGACCGCTTGCTGAATTCTCGATTCCTCAGAGATTCAGCAATATATCTGCAAAAGATAAGAGCGAAAAAAATTCAACAGGCGGCCTCTCAAAAATCCGTTGACTCAGCGAGCGTTCTTCCGAAAAGTCCTGATTGCTTTGCAAAAAATCCGCGAGCGGGCTGCGAGAAATCAGCAATCTATTTTTCCGGTACCCGCCTGCCCCCGGCAATTGTCTGAGAACTTGCTTTCTACAAGTCCGCATTTAAGGACTATAAAAAAATTTGACTATCGTGATGCGCTACGCCAATTTGAATAGGCAATAAATGGTTATAGCTTATTTTCTGTGGTCACGGACAAGCCCAGAGCGGCGGGACACCTCAATGCATTGGAGATGTTTAAAGGCAGCGTCCAGGCAAAAAGTCACTGCTGAGATTTTCACATATTATAAGCCTATCGGACCCTGTCTAACACCGTAGGGGGTCAAAATCGCACGAATATCATAAAAACCCTGTTTTCTGGAGGCCCCGTGCAGAGATCGCGGACGAGCTGTCCTCTCTGCACCCCTCCGCGGAAGGGCAGAGACGCAGAGTCGGGAGGTAGTCGTTTGATGTGTCGTCATGTTTCGAGGCACTTTCGCAATTAGAGAATTTATTCACATTCTTTTGGGTATGCTTATTCATTTCCAATTAACGAGATTTTCATGGCGTATTTTTACCTGCACATGATTTTTTTCTCTTTTGTTGCAGTTCCTTTTGTAGTAGTTTGTGTAAGTATACGATGTTTGAGGTTTTTTGATAATTGTTTGTCCTAAAGCTTGAAAATCGTACTACACCGCATTGATGCCGTCAGTGTTTGTTTCCGGTGTTAAATTCTGAAAATATTAGTGTCATTCCAGGTCATCCGCTTTGGCTCATCTTTTGATTGACCTGGAAAACAAGCAGTTGCAGGCAGAAAGCATTTGCAGAAGGCAGGCATGTAGTCATTGTTGTTTCGGTACAATATGTATAAATAGAGAGTTGTAAGTAAAGCACCTCCTCCACCCTAGAGTCAAATTATGGCAGTTCTTTGCTGGATCGCATGGGCCATTGCTGAACTTGGTGTAGAGCGAGCCGTACAAGGTCATTGGTTTTACCGTGTACCATGTCTTTCCTTGATGCGATTGCTGAAAGGTTGCTGCAAGGTTTGTTTAGACAATTTTTGGATTTTGATTATCTCTCTAACATCCGCACATGTATGCGCAAGTAATAGTTATCCAAATCTCCAGATATGAATGTTCGCTAATTCTGTTGCCCGATTGCATCGTGAACGAGAGTATATCAGGCTTTCCGAGCCATGCTTAGAGACATAGTATGTTTCTACAAATTTTTTTTGGTTGTCGACAGTAGTATCTACGTTTGTCCTACAGCGTATCGATGGGCTATCTCGCCTACGTGATCCATTCTTCTTTACTCTGTAAAATGCCCCACTAAGTTTTTTCTTTATGGAATGAAGCTGAAAAGCTTGACGTATAAAACATCCTCCGATATCTATCCAGACTTATTCATGAGGTTAGTTTTTTCAGATTTGATGGTTGAATAATTCTATCAGTTCTGGTTATAGGCTCAAGCCTATCAATGTAAGGGAGCGGGAGTAGTTTCGGGTGTTCCCTGGAATCTGGGTAGTGCGATGGCTTAGGGAACGGCCATAGGTTGCCGGGAACGGTTGCCGCGGTGGCTGAGGTTGCTGGCGTTACCGGAGTCAGAGACAGCTTAGAGAGCGAGCGAAGCGTGGAGACTGTCAGGAGGTCCTAGAGCGGGCAACGCCGGCAACAGCAACCCCGGCGACCGCGGCAAAGGCTGCCGGCAACCTATGGCCGTTTTCGTAGAGTCGAAATTACGTCAGACCTCGAGAAGGTGATAGCACATTTTGTTTATAAAATCGCGTTTGATAGATTATTTGTCTTTTGTTCGAATAGGTTGTCAGCATGACAGATGATATTGCGAGCATGGCTCGTTTCTTACTAGTGACGGATGGATGCGGAAGACGCGCAAGATGAGCAGAAAAGGACAGCTGGATGCCGAACAGAATGTTGTGAGTTGTATTCTTCTTAGTGCTAATTTTGATGCATAGAATATTCGGCGCTATTCCAGTACCCGGGCCCCAAAAATTTTTTCGTCGTTGATTTCGCTAAAACCTCTCCCGGGGGGGGGGGGGGGGGTTATTCGGCCCGCTGATGCCGAATATCACATTGGATTTGTACGGAAGCGTAGTTTTCTCGGGTTACGGTGGGTATACGGTAAAGGGTGTAAAACATAGTTCTGCCTGAATCGGGTACACGGCGATTCGGACGATCGTGAAGCTTTGCACACACGACCATTGCCGCGCGATACACTCTCTGCTGCGGCTTTTGTCTAAGCAAAGCACAGGGGAAAGATACATTTGTCGATTTCCGTTTTTGACCCTTACCGTAAACCTGCCGTAATCATGCAGGGAAACATTTTTGTGCGGAGAAAGTGTGACATATCTAATCAGGATGCCGAATGACCCCTCTGTGCGAAGCTGCAACGGATTTAGAGGTTTTGACCCCCCACCGTTTACCCACCTAACCGAGAACATGATTCTACGGTACAAAACCAATGTGATATTTGGCATCAGCGCGCCGAATAACCCCCTTGGGCAATTTTTACCGAAATCCACGCTAAAACTATTTTGGAGCCCGGATACTGGAATAGCGCCGAATATTCTTGTTTCTCTTTTTTTGCTTGACACACGCACTAGACACATAGAAATCGACTGCCGGATTACTAAAAGCTCCAAAAGCCTTAATTGTTTTTCAAGCAATATTGTTCGATCTAGTGGCGTCGTTCGTTGTTGATGATGGGGAATATGGCAATGCTGCTGAGCGCCTCCGTCTAGGGCAGACAGCTTAGTTTCTGGGTCGAAGTGTTGAATGTAAGTTTTCGAGATCTTAATTATATCATATACTTTGGACGATTTTTTACTTTTTACTCTTACTCTATTTTACTTTTTTTCGATCATTTTGATTATGTGGCAGGAATTTTTGCTAGCATAGGGAATTATCCCTAGATTGGAGCGAAAGTCACATCTGACCACTTTATTACAAAAAGTCAATGGTAATCGATAACGGAGGGGGCCGCGCGACGTCATCTTTCGTTCAATGCTTCCTCGGTCTCTGGCTGCGGGTAGTTGTTAGTCGTATAATGCACGTAGATTTCGCGACGCCAGACGTGTTCTATTGCTGTTTTCTCAACCATATGACTTTCGCGATCGTTGAATTTCCTCGTGACGTCGAATTCCCGCTTGACTGTGCGTTCTCCTCGCATCTCAGCCAGTGTCAGTGCATTTTTATGTAAAGTAGACAACTTTACATAAAAATTATACGTGGAGGCCGGCCTGAAATTAGTTTTACACTTCCATAGTTAGCGTTTATGTGATAAATGCTAACAGGAACAGTTCTTTGGGACAATAAAGACGGTCCAGCGAGTTTTTCGCTTCACACTGACGCGTCCCCCCCAAGTGGCTCGTCATTGTCAAGTCCTTTTGAAACACTGGATTCAAAACGATGGCCTTCAGTGTGTCATGCGGTATGCTTCCAGTTGGCAGCGCTGGTTTGTCCCTTTGACCAGTCAGAGGTTTGTGCCCGCATTTCGTTACAGGACCAGTTGTAGCATCCTAAAGTTAAAGTTATGTATACTTCACGATAACTGATTTATACCTCCACCCATTCGTGGATGTCAGCTACGTGGAAGAGGCAGCTGTTGAACGTCTGCCTTATAAGGTCCCCGTTTTTGGCAGCCGCGCCCTTGCGCACAGCATCATAGAGGTGCGCCTTGAGGGGGTCAATCCATTGGCGCAAGTCTTCACACCCTGTCCTTTTCGCTGCCTTAAACTCTTCACTACTTCAGTTCAACTATGGCTGAAGGAGTTACCGTCCGAAGTTTCTTATATAGATTGCGGGCCAGATGCCACGGATCGAGAAACCACTTGATATCCGTGTTAAATTCGGCATTGAATTGCCGAATTTCGGTTCCATAGACCGTGGAACGGTCTGTTGAGATCGAATTGATCTCTATACTCCTGGACCTGAACCAGCGGAGCAGTCGATGGAAGCCTTCCTTCTCCATTCTTCCACTAACACCGGCTAAAAAACTTCGGTCAACCGGAAGATTATCATGTTATGTATATCTGACCTGTTTCTGATCTGTGCACCAGCTCGGTATATATACACAGATTTGTTTTAAGGTCTACAGCTAAAACCTTACAAAAATCAGCACTGAAACCCCGGGAGTCGAAGGCTCCATCGACTGCTATATCCCACCCATGAAGTTGTTCTTCTCTCTGAATTACCACGATCGTACAACAGGCTGCGATCCAAGTGCATGGACAGTGTTGCAAGGATATTTTCATGGTAAGGAAGAGGGAGGGGGGGGGGTCAGACAAAGAAAGACGGTAAGAAAGGCGCGGCGCAAATTGTCGAAATGGTTTTTGAAAGCTTGTCAAATTTTTCTCACGCTTTTACCTTTGATTTTCTACTTGTCTGCCCCTCTTCCCCCACCTCTGCTTCGCCACTGGTCATGATTACCTCGTACGCGTTGCGTATGATTTGAATAACATCATTTTGGTGTCTCTCATACACCTGCGCTATTGATGGCCTCAGCGCTTTGAAGACATCATAGAACGCGCTTCTAGATGGCAGTGCGACGTTCGTTTCCTCGGCCCATTTCAGCAACCTCTGAAGAAAAAGAAGGCTCATCCAGAACTCAGAAATCTCCAGCATGATTACGGTTATACGCAGTCCTGTTGTGGCTGCTGCGACGCATATCTTGGCGTTCCCGGTCAGTCTCTTATCGTTTGGACGAGAACCTATTTTTTCTTGGCCGCTCCATCTTCTTTTCCGCAATCTGTCTCCCTTAGTCAGGTAGGTTATGATTGGCGCCGACCCTTCTTCTTCCAACTGGACTGTTCCTGGTTCATCATCGTTTGGGCATCCACAGCGAGAAAGCCGAAACAATTCCAATAGTTTCTTTCCCTGGACCAGAAAATATTTATCCATGCGCTCTGGCTTTGTTGGTGCCAATCTCTGAATGTTGTCTGCGTCATCCTCGTCGTCCTCTGATGCTACAGTTCGTGGTGAAAAATGTGATACGCTCTAAAATGGGATTGATTCAGTGTAAAACTCTAGATGCGTCTGCTTCGGTTTAAAATATGGTTGGATTTTCGTCTGACTATCTTACCGTATCGGTGGTACCCGTCGATTTAAAGGACGAGCCTGTGTCTCCTCGTTGGGGAACAGGTGCTTTTCGCTCTTCTTGGGTTATCGCCTCTGCTAGGTTTTCCATATCCACGTCCACTTCCATAGCATTGTGTTCGGCTACGATCTCTTGCTCCATCTAAATTCACTTGTGCATGAAAATTGCACTTGCATAAGTGGGAATGGAAATGGATGTCACTTCTGGTAGCTCTTCTTTTTTCTCTTTTGGGGGGTTAAAAACTCCAGGAATAACCCATCTACTCCCCTCGAGGTATCTCGTCACATAGAAATTTATGTAACTGGCAATATCTGATCTGCTGACCGTGATGTTTTCCTAAGAAAATAAATTTTTCTGACGGGATTTTGCTTTCGTAAAGTAAAATTAATCACTGACAGTGAATGCTCGTATCGCATTATTCAAGATGTCTATCAGGCTATCGGATATCTCTGCATCCATGAGGTATGACCCTGCGGTCCTTTCAGTAAATTTGCCCCCACTCAAGGCTACTTCTGCGACCAGATATTGTGCCTGTGAATATTTTGCCTTGCCCATTGAAATGTCATTTGGTGAAACTTACCGCATTTATAAAATGTAGGGGACAAACGAATTTTTGAGTTCTTTTGAACTCTGCGAAGCAGTGGTTTATTAGTTCTTGCGGTATACATGTAAAAACCCTCAAGGACGCGAGAAAAATCGCATTATGTCCATCATTCCTCGAAGATCGGGTGCCGAGGGCTCTATTGACCCTATTGCCGCAGATGATGCAGGTAAAGTACTTCATTCTGTCTAAAAAGCTCTCAAAGAATGAGATCACAATGGATAGATCTTTTGCGGGAATACGAAGACACTGTACAGGATAGTCTTCCTCAATTTATCACATACACGATTGTGTCAGTCATATTTTATTATAATTTTCAATTATACTGCGTTGTGTGCGGGACAGAGCCTCTGCAGTTTGTGACGACGTTTTGGTGCTACATACACTGGAATGACGAGTATCTGAAATACATCGCAAATAGTCTCACATGGATCATATTCTAAATATGGGATGAAATTGGGTAGATAATTACTATTTACTTATAATAGTACCAGTCGTTACCTCTGTTTCACGGCTCGCACTGGCCCTACTTTATCTATGCCTTACTCATCCCGCATAATAATTACAGTGAAACTCACCGCGATGTGAATTCTATCACGAATGATTCGTAAACAACTATCATTCCTAGAGGTTTTTCATGTGAGATCGGTATTTTCGGGTGGATGAAACCCTTCCCACAAGAACAGATGCAAATTTGCATAGGTTTTTGGGTTTCTTATGGCTTGGCAGTCGCCGTAAGGGTAATAATCATCGTGGGTTACATCTCTGTGCAAAAATCTTCTCAAATGATCAGGTAAACTCTTGGAAAATTGACCTTTTACACAGCCAAGGCTTTTTGGTGCTGTTTTCGTAAAGTAGTAGACTTTTCATCACTTTCTTAGGCTAGCGTCCACGGCTTGCACATTAGCTTGTCAAATATATCGTAACTCTGCAAAAAGTAGTACTACGGACCCAAATTTGCTGGTCAGAAGCCAAGATCCGTTTGACGCGCAATTTTCAACAGATCCGCTCATGCTTCTGTATGGTGAGCTTTCATTTTTCATAGCGTGCGTTATGCAAAATTTGGGCTCAGGACCTTGGCTGGAACAAGCTCTACGATTTTCGTAACGGACCGTCACACACACAGACAAAAACGACATCCTTAGTGGCTTATTATAATTTATGATATTTTATATACTTTCATTTCTACCGTTATTTACCGTTTTGCAGTAAATTTCGAATCATGGTTTTGTTTTGATCACTATTGATGAGGAAGATATGTTTCAGAGATACACGCAAAGCACGTTCATGCAGTCAAACGATTCGGACAAGAAAAGTCATAACATACGATTTCCGACATGATCACTCAGTCAACTAACAACAAACAGTGTATGTACCGGGTATAACGCAATTCTGACAGATAGTAAGTCGTTACGTGCAAATCTTCGCTGCTCTCTGCATTGAAAACTTGGATGTGGACTTGGTTGTATGGACGCTCTTTTTGTCAAACATGTATCTTGCTGTTAGATTGTTTGTTTATGATTGACTATAGCTCATTCGACTAATTTGGAAAAATTCCTAAACTGCAGAAATTCCTATTATTGTGCTTGTCTGTTTCGATTATTGTGGTAACATCTTGTGATGGAATGAAGTAAAAAAAAAACTTTACTCGTTCATTTCAGTTACAAAACTAATTCGACTTTCACTAATGCAGACCAATATCAGTGAACAATATTGTACATAAGCAGCAAAGATTCCAATAGAAAACAATATACAGTAATAACGAAACATCATACATGAAATTCCTTCATTGACAGAAATATAATAATGTCGTAAACATTACATTCCACATGCCATACAACAACTACTCGACTTCTTGGATGCTTGACATGCAAAACCATTCATTCATCTGTCCCCAATTTGTATAGCATAGATACGATACCAATGTCTAAAATTAATATGGAGATGATTGTAGATAATGTATGCTAGGTAGAAGCTATGGAAGCTCACCTTAGATCTTACTTCTGGCTGTGCTTGCTTTCATTTCGCTTTTCGCAAAAAGTTTGCTTCTGCAATAAGTTCAATTACGGGAATTTGATTTCAACATGGGAACTCACATGCCAGTTCTTGAATTATATGGAACTTTTCATAATCTGTCGTAAGTTTTCATGATTGGAGCATCTGCGTGTTTAGCGGGGTCAACATCAGCCCTAGAGTATTATTCGGCAGTTAACAAATCAAACAAAATGTGGCAGCAAAGTTTATGAATTTCATGCACGTACCTTGACGATAATAGTTGTCTTCTGCTATGCAAAGTATAACGTCTGGTTTGCTATCGTCAGCCGTGCTCGTGACGATACTGAATTATAAACTGAAATGATACACTCAAAGTGTTTGAGTTGATCGTCAAAAATTGTGAGAAGTCAGTCATTAGGATCCCAATTCTTCCTCCTCCCCCTTTCATCCTTCGCCGTTCTCAACAAGGTGGTAGGGCTATTGGCGGGTAGAAACAAACTCTACCTTTTCGACAGCCTCTACAAACAAACAAAAAAGGGAAGAGGTACAGTAAAATGACAGCATTTGAATGTAAAAATATAACAACTAAGTGCATACCATTTCAGTCTAGATCAAATATCATCAAAGAGTTCGCGGGTACCAGTTCTCACCATAACAATGTAGTAGTCTTGTCAGTTTCAATCCAATGGATGAAGTAAACACAGTTTTTCACTATAATAACACAGAAAAGCAGGGCTTATAAATCAAAAAACAGAGTGGCCTTACGTGAGTAATCTGCAACCAGGAATTGGTCCGACTTAAATCCGATAACTGTGCAATACTGACAATATTTACAGCTTTCTTAGAAAAAGTAACGCAATTCTACTTGTAGAACCTGAAACAAAGTATCACAAGGGTGTGCTTTGATAAGGACAATACAGCACTTGGCTCACGTGGACAAAGCAATCTTTCTGGAAAATCTCATAAAAAACACGGAGAAAAAAAAAGCATATCACTATGACGTAAATGAACATGCTCTTAGCAACTGCGGCCAATCTTCGCGATCGGAAAATAATTTTCTTTTCAATGATCTTTTTGTTGAAGTGCTAGGCATGCAAGTTTATGTAGTTGATTCTACAAAGCGCAGGGAGACTCATTGACCGCTTTGAGGTATCAAGAGAGAAAAAGGCAAAGGACTTAGAAAATACCATGCAAAAATTGCAAAAACCTAAGCTTTCATACCTCTGACATTTCATTTCTGCCTCACATTCATGAATTCTGGAAATTAGGCCGCAGAGGCAGGCTGGTCAAAAAGAAAACAATTTTTACGGACTCATTTCGAATTTCAAAGTTTCTTGAAATTATTAGAAGCATTCACGAGCACAGGTAAGCTACTTGCATACTAAGAAAGCGTAAATAGACCACTTTTATCTGATTACAAATTACACCATAACCTTTTCAGAGTGATAGCAGACACAATGTATTTTTCTGGGAGTGCTGTAGCATGGGTATCATGTGAGCAGTCTTTCGAAAAGGGAAACTAAACCAAAACAAAGAAAATTGGTAGGGATAAAGTGAACATGTCTGATGAATCTGATATTTGATTCGATAGACAAAAGAGTATTATGCAGGGACAATGCAATGACACTAACTAGTGCAATAACAAACACATTTATTTATTGGAAGCAAAAAACAATGTAAATGCAAACTACATACTCTACGAAACACAAAAATACAGAAATGGCAAAGTTTCGGAAATTTGACGCCAGTGACGCGGAACATAAAGGGATGAGAATAATTTCCAACGAGGTTCAATGCGACACCCTGCACTTATCGCGGCGAAGGGGGGGGAGAGCGAAGGAGTCGTCCGTGTGGACCGTGCGGACCACTTTGTGCGCATTTTTCTCAGCGAAGAGTGGGCCAAATCGAATCGGACTTGTTGCAGTGGGCTATTTGGGGGGCCTTCTAGTGGATTATGTGGAGACCCGCACAACCTCAGATCTGCCTGGACGCTGCCTTTAAGGGGTTTGTATCCCAAAATCTCAAAAGTTATCCCGTTTGCCAAAAAACAAATATATTGTGTGTGACAGTAACAAGAAGATAGGGTACGCCGTATTGATATGAACAACGCTCTAATCTCACAGCACTGAATGGCTTGAAAAATTGTTATCAAACGCAATGTGCTGAGGCTGAAATGAAAAAAAGAAAAAAATAATAGTATGGTCTGACCAACAAGCAGAGGTGCTATGGGGGGCCGGGCCCAACAAAAGCAAAGGTGGTAGTGCCGGACACTCACCTCCCAAAAACATCGACGGGGGAGGGGGGGGGTAACGTCGAGTGAGCCTATCCTTCCAGGTCGTTGCCGCCAGTGCGCGGAAAATAAGCAAAACGAATGCAAAAGAGATCATTGAAAGCATACTTTTATGTATGCAGCGGCATAAACATCTTAAATAAACGTGCTTATCAAATGGTATATTTGGAAGTAAAACTCAGCGGAACCGTACGAATTTTATTGAGCGAATTTTGTCATGACGTACTGCGAAGAAAGTAGGTCGATCCAGGGAATAACCGCCGAGGACAGAATTTCGAATGATAAAATAACGACAAATTATGCGAAACTTCCACTTTTATAAATCTTGCAATTGAAGATGTCAGCAATTGCGACCTTATAGGTCTTACAGGGTGAGTGATGTTCTACCAGACATTGAAAGAATCATTTCGGTCTGAAAAGTGGTCGCCGAGAGACAGAATTTTGAAAAAAATTAGGCCATTTTAGGTTGCTTAGTGAGAGTTGACAGTTAAACTTATATAAATCTTGAATGTGAAAGTATGTGATGTTGCGAATTCATAGACTTTGTAGAGCAAGGATTGCATTGTCAGAATATTTCTTAGCCTTACCAATCCATTGAAACGGCGCCGAGATCCATATTCTTGAAAAAGCAGGTAAAAAAGCGCTTTTTTGAAATTCAACAGCTTGTAACTTCTTCAGAACTGCATGATTCACTTTGCGACTTTATAGGTTAGATTCCACTCATCAAGAGCTTTTAGATACTATATAATATGTGGAGGTTTAGAGCCTCCTGCGAATTATGTCTCCTGGCGGCCTCCCTCCAATACATTGAAGTGGGCTAGGGGAAGACTTTGGTATGAAAAGCCTCCCCCCAGGGCATAATTGGCAAGAGGCTCTAAACCCCCACATATCCTATATACAAAGCTGAATGTCTGTCTGTCTGTCTGTCTGTCTGTATGTCTGTCTGTACGTATGTTCCGAATAAAAAATTCCATTTCTGAACCGATCTGGGCCAAACTCGGCACACATACACTTCGGGCCCCGGTGGGTGACATGGGCTACTTTTCGTCATCGAGTGATATCGATTTTTTTGATTTTTTAAAAAGTTCGAGCTACGGGGCTGGGAGTTGGCACAGGGGGTAAGTGAGCATGCTGATTACGAATATATTATTGACAGGGCCGGGCGGAGCCGGGTTTGCCAGCTAGTTATAAAACATCTGGAAGCTCTTGATGAGAAGAATCTAATTTATGGTCCCAACAAGATTTATGCAGTTCTGAAGAAGTTATGAGCTGTTGAACTTTAAAAAGCGCTTTTTTACCTGCTTCTTCAAAATTTTGGATCTCGGCACTGTTTCAGTAAATCGGTACGACTAAGATATATTCAGATAAGGCAAACCTTACTCTACAAAACCTTTGAAATTGCAACATCACACACTTTCACATTCAAGATTTAGGTGAGTTCAACTGTCAACTGTCACTAAACACGCCAAAATGGCGTAATTTTTTTAGAATTTCGGTTTTCGGCGATTATCTCTTGAATCGACTCGATTCTTTCACTGTAAATTAGAGCACCATTTACTCTTCAAAACCTTTGAAGTCGCAAGTGCTGACATCTTCAAGCAACAGATTTATAACAGTGAAAATTTCGCATGACTTACTATTTAATTATTCAAAACTAGCTGGCTTACCCGGCTCCGCCGTATGTTCCGAATAGGAAATTCTATTTCTTAACCGATCCGGACCAAATTTTGCAAAAAATTGATAAAATCGACATCGATCGATAACGAAAAATAGCCTATGACATCCGCCGGGGCCCGAAATGTATGTGTGTCAAGTTTGGTCCCGATCGGTTCAGAAATGGAATTTTCTATTCGGAACATACGTACAGACATACATACATACAGACAGACATTCAACTTTATATATAAGATTCTGGTTCTCGGCAGTTACTGCCTGGATCGGTCTACTTTCTTCGTTGTGCGTTATAACAAACGCTACTTAATAAAATCCGTACAGTCTCGCCGAGTTTTACTTCCAAATACACCATTTACTGAAAATGTTTATCTTATATATATAGCTGTATGTCTGTCTGTACGTATGTTTCGAATAGAAAATTTCATTTCTGGGGACCAAACTTGGCAAACATACACTTCGGCCCCCGGCAGTTGTCATAGGCTCTTTTTGTCATCGATCGATATCGATTCTATCGATTTTTATCGATTTTTTGTAAAGTTTGAGCTAGGAGCTAGGAGGGCTGGGAGTTTGCACAGGGGGATAATCGAGCATGGGGATTCCGAACACAATATTAGTCTTCAGGATTATCGATTATTTTATCGATTTTATCGATTTTTTTGCAAAGTTTGAGCTACGGGGCTCGGATTTGGCACAGGGGGGTAATCGTAATCGAGCATGCTGATTACGAGTTCGATATTAGTTTGGCGCTATTAGGCTATCCGAAGCCCAGAATTTTTTTGTGGTACAGCTTGCTCAAACTTCGTGTATAAGGGTTATCTTAAGGGCCGGGCATACTTCAAGCGATTTCAATCGCGACGCGATTTGGCAATATTCCAGGTGTTCATAACTCATTATAAGCACCTTATAAATGTACAGAAGATAGGTCATCTCATTAGTTTACGTAAGTTATACACACTATGCATGTGCAGTTTGTTAATGTTGGATCCGAAGACTTCTGGCAAATTGCCAAATCGCGTCGCGACTGAAATCGCGCGAAGTATGCCCGGCCCATTACATGCTAATTACAGATATCACACTTTCTCCGCAGAACCTCTTCCCGTGTGGTTACGATATGTACGGTGGGAAGTCAAAATCATGAATTTGGCTGGAATTCGGTCCATATTGCTCATTCGATATGCTAATTCTCTCTTTGCATATTGGGACCTTTTCATAGAGTTGTGGTGGTTATATGGCATGGGGTCGAAAACATAGATTTGCTTTAAACTTCGTCTAGGGCGGTAATTTAGCGCGCTGAACATGAATATCATGCTGATTTCGCAGGATAGTGCATTTTCCTGGGTTACGGTGTGTGCAGATGGGTCGAAGTTCCTGATTTTCTCAAAACCTTACCTGTAACGTTCACAAGTATATCGCTTATGAATATGATGCTTGCTCGCTGTCATAACGCAATAGTGAGGCTATGGTGAATTGCAGGGTTTGAATGGACATTTTTTCGCTTTCGGGCCAATTTAGATCCAGATATTCACAAAATGGGAAGACGGTTGTTTTGCATGGCGGTCTCCAGCGCCATCCTGATAACCTGTCCCAACGCGTAACGCACGCGGCAAATCTCTTTCCTCCTGTTCTTGCTTAGGCAAAGGCCGCCGAAGGATGTATGGCGCTCGGCAGTGGTCCTATAAAGAAACTGATAACCTGTCCCAATGCGTAACGCACGCGGCGAATCTCCCTCCCCCTGTTCTTGCTTAAGCAAAAGCGCCGAAGGGCATATCGCGCGCGGCAGTGGTCCTATAAGGAAACTGATAACCTGTCCCAAAGCGTAACGCACGCAGCAAATCCCCCTCCCCCTGTTTTTGCTTAGGCAAAAGCCGCCGAAGGGTGTCTCGCGCGCGGCAGTGGTCCTATAAGGGAAAGCAATGCCTTCGTTCATACCACACGAATTGCCTTTATCGTGGGGATTGAGCACGGTATTTTTGAAACAGCGGTTTAGGTAATTTTCTGCCAAGGTTTCAGGCAGGTTCATGATTTTTACACGCTGCCATGTACCTACCGTAACTTTGCGAAAAGGTCTCAAAACGCAACGAGAGTGTTTTAGACGTGGTCAGAAGGTCGAATCTAGACCGAGTTTCAGCCAAAACTGAGATTCGCCCCTCTGCAGTATACCTACCATAACTCAGTGAAATCGCCTCAAATTGCCGAAGGAGTATGATATTCGTAATCAGCAAGTCAATTAGCCCCCCTCAAAGTTTCAGCGAAATCCATGATTTTA